ATGATCCTTTACACACAGTCAACATTATGGACTGTTTAATATATATTTCTTTTTTAATGAGGATTGCAAAATGATTGTGTCCCATTAACTTTTTTCTGGTAAGGTCATAATTAGAAAACCACTTTTTCCTCTCATAGAGTATATTCTTATCCCATTGTACTGTGTAATGACATTTGCACACACAGTTGTATGCAAACATCTGGGCAAAATACATACAGTACTATAGGTGATGTTGTTGTGAAGAGAGGTCAACACAGTCCCTGCAGCAGACAGTCTTTTTTTAGTTCAGCTATTACATTAAAAAACAAAAACAGCTATTTGTAAAGTCAGAACTTAGCTAATTACCTACTATTATCAGTCTTTGCAAACTGAAGCTTCAGTCTTTTACAGGTTACTATGTTGCTAGGAATTGCTAGTACTAGTTGTACTAGTTACACCAGGTTAACTCAGAGGCTTTTGTCCTGTAGTTTAATATAACAGAATAAAATTGATAACAAAAGCTGTCCATGTCGTGTCAACAGCCAGCTTAATATCTGCAGGCCCTAAAATGCTTTGAGAAGACATTATATAGTTACTGAAACAAGTAATACGTTAAAACATTGCATCAGACGCCAAATATTAAAGTGCAGGGATGCTTTAAAAATCACATCAAGACATCAAGGCATGACATGATATGATACACAGAAACACCTCTGAGTTTTCATCTGCAAAATCAAAACTATATCACCTTTTATAGCTGCTGTATAAACAGTTTAGTCTCCACCCTCTTGAAAAACACGAGGAACTTTGTTTGAAGTGGATGCATGTCATTTATGAAACACTGAGAAACAAACATGCTTTCACAAAAAGATTACAATGATTATTTTTTAACATTAAATATTTGCATGTATAGTAAACACTTTCCTTAGCCTTGCATGCAAGCTGAGGAATGAGAAACAGTGCGAGGGGGTCGAGGCCATCAAAAGTGGAGTGATACTGGAGCGATGGTATTGACTGAGTAGAAGCAGATGAGAGATGCAGAGCTGGGCTGTGTGATGCTGGCTGACAGATGCATTGGCTTGCCCCAGCACTTCACATACCAGCACCAGTTGGCCATCGGTGCATAATAAATACACTTGATTCGAATTATTAAACCATTCTGATCTTGTGTCTATAAGTCTGTCTGTCCATCCTTCTATTCAATATCCAACCATGCGTCAGTTTATCTAGCTGTCACACACGTTATCAGGCAGTGCCTGTGTACATCTGTTTCTCCACCTTTTTTCACAACAAAGCTGAATCTTATGTGGCATAAGCTTCACATCCTACATGCATTAACAGTAAGACTCTTACATAATGAGAAACTGGGTGTCACTGTCTGATTTTTCTGAAATGTCTCATACTAGAGATGCTGAGAAGCCTTATTTTATATCAGAATAAGGACAAGCCTAAGGAACTACACACTAGGCAACTGAAATTACATTTATAATCAAATTGTACATACACAGCTATATTTGCTATAATTGCTATCCAGAGTGATCCTGCTTCCAGTACAGACCCAATCTGTTATCCACTGTAAAGAACCCTTGTGATTTGCCATATAAGGGCACATTTGTGATTGCCTATTTGTCACAATGGTTCTTGAATGGCTTTTACATGCAGTCAAGCTGCTTGAAAGACATTGAAAGGCATTTTGATACATGGAATATCTCTTGTCTTGCTATCGCTCATTATTACCTGTTATTAATGTAATGCAGTTTTGTTATGTTTCTTTTTTGGGTTGTAGTGAAAATATGTACTTGTCAATATCATATTTTTCTTTTACTCTCATCTTCTCGACATTGAAAGTAAAGAGCTCAGCTTCAGTCTGCTGTCACACATGGATGTTTCATTTTGATCCTACAGTAAACTTGATTTCAGGGGCTTTCTGATCCTTAGTGTGCTTCCATATTCTATAATGCCATAAAGTTTGGGTGAGAACGACCAATAATTACTGTAAATGTTCTTGTCTAATCATGATCTGGAAGTCACAGTTTACCAACCTGTATATTTTCACCAAAAATGAACAAATCCTACTATTGAATTTAAGCAGGATCTTAGAGCAGTAGACTATTGGCTCTGCATAGTTGACGATAATGGTAACCATGGTGACGTGGCTCTAGTCGCAGTTGTTTTTATGCCTGCCAAGACATTATGATGTTAATAAAGTTAGGTCATGCTGTGTGGGGCCTCCAGGCTGCGATGCATCATGGGATTGATTGATGACTCTGTTGTCAGTTCAATCTAAGAAATGAACTGGAAGAGGGAGGAAGGGAGGGTAGGGTGTAGAACAGAAGAAACAGGCGGAGAACAACATGGCTTGACAACAGAAAGGCTGAAGTAAGGAAGCAATGAAAAGCAAGAGGTGAAAAATGTGGAAATGGGGACAAGTATGAAGTTAAGACAAAAACTGTTAATGGGTGAGGAGGAGAATGAGGGCAAGGGCAAGAAAAGCTTTAGATTTGAATTTAGAAAACAAGAAAAGAACTAAACATTTTGAGAAATGACAACAACAAAGAAAGATGGAAGACAAGAAGAATGATGTGAAAGGGAAAAGCTGGGCCAAGGGAATGAAGGAGGTACAAGGAAAGGGCGACAGGGGGCAACAGTCTGTGTGAGAAAGTATAAAAACTATACATGAACTTGTGGAATTGTGCGGAAGGAGAAACCATATTGTCAAGGTGCTGAGATGAATTCATTATTATGTACAGTTCTGAGAAAAGTGACAGAGTTCACAAATACACATCCAAGACAATGAATCAGTCAGTGAAAGAGCATCAGAGGATGTTTACAGTAAAACACAAAAAAAAGATCTCACAAAATCAACCACACACAATCCAGAAGTGACACTGAATTATGTCATTCAATGCCACAAAAGGTTCCTTTTCATTGGTTATATTGGTTCTTTGGCTGAGTGACAGTCTTGCCCTTGAGAAACACTCACATAATACACAAGCAGAGATGTGTGCGTGTGTGTGTGTGCCACTGATTCCCACTGTTTATTGAAAAAAAGATTAGCATTCTCAGGCACCACAGAAAACCCCAGTACACAGATGCTGTGTTGAACAGATGCAGCTAAAAATGAAACAGATGAAGCAGCTGAGAGTATTGCAGGAGGGTTTCTTCACTGTGAAAAAGCAAAACATCATTAAACCATTAGCCCACTTGACAAACATTAAGCCCTCTTTCCACTTGGCATTAATATGTGTCTCGTATCCAGACTGTGCCTGAGTATAAATTATTTGGATTATACTTAGACCAAATACTGAATGCATATTTTGCTTGCACATTAAAAGTGGCTTCATCTATCCTTTGCCAAGAAAACAAATTGCAATATGTATTGTGTCCTTTGATCACCTTTGAATCTGAGATTAAATCTTGCTTTTTTTTTCTTGTTCTTCATCTTCAAGAAAATATATTTCTCTGCTAAAGTTTTAATAATTACTACACAGACTAATTTCATTCATGCTTTATAGTTAATGCAGCCAAACATATTTCTGCGCACCTCTGGAGATGTTTTGGTTGATTACATTTTCAATGAATCTTGGCTGCATTTCTACCAGAATTTGATGTATTTTTGCTCGTTCTTATCACAGTTCAGTTCCCCCAGTATCTCTGTTAGTTCAGGTGGAAAATGGCCCTTGGTGTGTAAAGAAAAACAGCAGTGTAACAGTAGGGCCTGTCAGACTGATTTTGGAGTGACATCTTTACCTTTTAGTTAATATAAAGTGCTAAGACAGGTTAAGTTTGGTTTGCTTATATGCACTGATTGCAGCTTTCTGAGTTAAGATTCGCTTTTAAGTCTGACCTGCCAATTTGATTTTGGCTGATTCCAACCAACATCAGTAGCTCACCTCGGCCTTTGTATTTTGTTTGTGAGAAACAGACCCCACATGGAGACACTGATAATACTGTAGCTTAATATTTGCTTATGACACTCTACCAATCAAAACCAGACAAAACTTTGACAAGCCAAGTCTGCATTTTCTTTCTTTTTCCCTGCGGGCAACAAGGCAACAGTCATCATTTTTGTTTCCTATCAAGGACTGTTGATATCATCATGTGATAGTATATGGAGAAAAAGCATTGGGTGGATGGGGATGGGGGGGGGACTTTAGGTCAGCAAATAAAGACATAATGTGTGAGAGAGAGAGACAGACTGATAGAGAGAGAGAGTTTCAGAAGTGAGATAGGACATGAAATAGAGAGAGTTTGATGTGGAGAGAGCAAGTTAAAGAGACAGAGTTAGCGAGTCTGAGATACTATAGTAGAGATAGTAGTGCCTTACAGCCAGTGTCCATATCTCTTGCCACTGATGACTTCTCCTGCTGCACTACAACTAATGGACTCTGTCCTCCTCTGCTGTCTTATCTTCCCTCTCTCTATTCCCCCCTCTGTCTAGTTCCATCCTTGCTTTCTGTCACCTACTTCTTGATGCCACGCTATCTCTTTACTTCACCGCTCCACCTCTATCTTATTTTTATCATGCTTTGGTCTTTCTCTCACCCCTGCTCTTTCACTTTAACTCTCACATGCTCCGTCTTTATCTTCCTATCCTATTATTTAGGTTTTCCTCTTTATCTGTTTAATACTGTTTCCGCACTTCCCTCCACCATGACCAAACCCCAAAAAGTTCACCCTCTCTTCTCTCTGCCTTATCTTTGTCCGCACTGCATGGAAGAAAAAAGGGAGGAATAAACATGCCATATCTATGTCCTTTCTGACCCTTTCTCCTCAAAGCCTTTTGCCTCACTATGCTTGTCCATTGCCTGTGCAGAACTGAAAAAACACAGCTTTTCGCTCAAAAATGAGAAATAAGAAATATAAGGGATTAATATAAGAATGGAAGTGGCTTTTAAATGAAAGACAACCAATTCAAAAAGTGTACATTTCCAATAAGGTTTTCCCAACTCAACAAAACAGAATTTCCTCTTGATAAACGAGTGATTCTTACGTGTTCTTCATATTTGTGTCCCTGTCAGATGACCCAGGAGCAGTATATTCTCGCAGCGCAGCCCAACCCACTCCACCAGCGGGGGCCATCAGTATGTGGTGCCCAGGTTTACCCAGCAGTGGGGATCTACGGCTGGAGGAAGAGATGCTTGTACTTCTTCATCCTCCTTCTCCTCGTCACCATGATCGTCAACCTGGCGCTCACCATCTGGATCCTCAAGGTCATGAACTTCACTCCGGTAAGAGGCGTCATTAAATGGCAAAATGTTATGCAGTTTTATGTTTATGAGGGAATTTATGTGAATTTATGTCTACATGTGTTTTAGTTACATTACATTAGTAACTGGATATTATCCTTGTCCTTGTCTATTAGAATTTTGTTGACTGTAGTTGTATTTGCCTACATATTGTGGTTCAATTAGCGCTATATAGTGCCATGCAGATTTAGTAGAATTTAGATTAAAATGGGACAAAATGTTCAGTGCCATTTAGCGTTGATCTAAATACTGTTTTTGTGCACCCATTCAACATAAATACTTTGCATGTTTACAGAAAATGCTGTAATCCTTTGTATAATATATTGCGTCTTCCATAAAAAAATTAAAAAAAAACCCATAGGTTGTTTGTGCTAGCAGCAAATTATGACCCATTTGTATGTTTCTATTATGTTTCAGCATCTACATGGAGTGGCTGTGTGAGACAGCATCAGCCATTTCAGTAAATGCGCTTTACATTCAAGTGGCAAAGTCCATTAGTGGCCATAATAATTGTGTTGGTAGGAAAGGAGAAAGTCTGATGATGTTGTTATAGAGTTTGCATAAGTAGGAGATTGGGGTGGATGGATGGGTCGGCTGCTGTTCCTTCCCTGTTTCCAACCAACACTCAGTGTTGTTGCTTTTAAACATGACTTTGATCATCCTAAAACCTTAAATGCATGTTTATTATTGTAACCACAACGCACAGGTCTTCTAGCCTTCACAAAGAACTTATTTTGACCCAAACCATGATATTTTTGCACCTAAATCGAACTGAATTTCTACTGTGGCATTGTCACAGCATGAAACAGTGATTTTTCAAATTTTATCAGTGGTAAAACTCCTGCAGCCCTAGAGCTACTAATTCAGGATGTACCCCTATGGGTTGTATCAGTGCATACAGACCACTGACTGAATATACGATGGATGTCACATCATCACTTCCCTCCACTATGCAAAAGTGAAGCCAAAAAATTATTAATACAGCAGCTACCATCTTGCATTTTTGTAACCAGATTCTGTGCAGCAGTGACCAGGAGTTGAGTGAAGTATCAGGACCGCTAATCAAAGCTGTCAAATCACCCAAAACACACCCCTTTTATATCATCAAATAACTTATTAAAAACAAACAACAGAAATGTGGCCACTTGTACATGAATCAGCCTGATAATATCTACCAAATAGGACAGAAATCAGCTTTTAGTTTGGCCCATGTCCTATCCACTAGCATGGAGGAGGTGGGCTTTATAACCTATGGGGTATTCGGATTGAAAGTACTGGGGAAGCAGTTGGACTATGGTCCCATTCTCTGTTACTGCAGAAGTTAGGGTTATGAAACTTACAGTACATCAAATGATCACTCCATTTACACCAACAATCCCTGAAAAAAATCAGTGTGACATGTTGATGGGTCCAGGGATATTTATCATTTTGTCATTTTAAATTGATTTAACAAATTTCCTCCTCAGTATTATACAGTGCATCATGTTTATTCTAATCTAACATTCATTCTCCATTGAAGCTGGGAAGTGGTGCAGTGTTGCTGTTTCTAATGCCCAATTGCCCGAGAGCAAAATTATAATCAAAGTCATTATTTTGTGTTTAATTTGTAATTTAATTCATCAGTTTGTTGCTTAAAGTCCAAATGTGTTCATATTTTGAGACAAACACTGATCATATCAGTAATTAAAGCAGTTTTATTATGGAAAAAGCCCACAGTTAACCAATTACTGGCTGTTAGCATGGCGGACCATCAATTAAGGGATTTTGCATCTTGAGTTGCATATACTGTAAACGTGTGTTTACTTTAGCTGAAATGAAAACAGTATTCACTTCTTATTATGAATCCAGCTATAAGGAGCTGCTGCTGCTTCGATGGCCTTACAGCTGTCATTTCCATCATCACCATTCAAATCACATCTAACTGGCTGCAGTATAATGAAGGCCTTTCTCAAACTTTTTGTTTGGAGTTGCCAGATGTGATTCTCATTGTGATGGTGGAGGGAGAAAAACAGATTTGCTTTTGAAAAGACAGCTTTGGCAGGAAATTGGAGAGGAGGGACTTGCGGGGATAGCAGTTAACGTGTTGTTGTTGTGTGTGTGTGTGTGTGTGTGTGTGTGAGAGAGAGAGAGAGAAACATACAGAAACTGAGAAAGTGTTTGTGTATATGTTTGTGTAATTAATAAGCAATTGTTAATCCTGATATGTGTGTGCATTTATAGTGTGTGTCCCTTTCCATGCTTCTGTGTGTCAACACCTACCTTTGTGTTTGTGTGTGTACGTCCTCCCCTGAGTCCTTTGGGCTTTTACTGCAGAGAAATTCAATTTGAGTTGTCACTCACCCATCCGCCTGCCTAACTCCTGGTCTGGACTAGACTAGTATGTGTGTGCACACGTGTGTTAGTGTGCAATGTGTGCAGTGTATGGTCATCATCTTAGTACCTACTTAATCCACAGTGTTTCATTTGTAACACAATTTGTAATGTGCTGTTCTGCATGCTGGCATAATGACCTCTTATCACGTGTGCATACATTTATTAAAAGCTCCTCAGTGGTCATAAAGCAGATGTTGTGTATCAGCATTCACAGTTACATTTACACTCCACCAACACGATATTGGTGTCAAACCTTCTACAGTAAAACTGTAGCGTTGGTTGTTTCATTAAGATCTATTCTCCAAGGGGAAAAAGGTTCCTGTGCAAAAATTTTGTGCAGCAACTTTGTGTACCTTTAATCTGTAAATGATAAATAATAGAAGAATAAAACTGTCAGTGTACTGTAATATGTTTAAGCTTTCTTACATCTACATGTTGATGGTAAACTTTACCTGCAGTGTGTGAAGTGTCCTTGTGCCGGTCTGTGGGGACGTCAAATCAAACTTTATCCTTGTACTCTTCAGATCAGTTACAGGGTGCTTAAAAGATGATAGAACAACAACTGAAAAATCAATAAATTGACCTGCATTAATCACAAATGGGTTATAGCTGCATTACAACAATGACACATGGAAATATAACAGGAATAAATCAGACAAAAACATTTAGTTCATAAAGAGTGAAAGGAGAGAGACAGCCTCAGTCAGTCATTGTTATATAGGTCTTAATGATGTTAAATTAACAATAGTTTTTTTATATTCAATCAGCTTTTAATTTACTGGAATATAAAACACATTCGCAATTGTGAATATGAAATATATTGGTAATTCTTTATCTTTACTGGAGAGATGAATCACATCCAATAGGGGCTTTTTGATATTAGTGTACAAGACTCATATAATATACAAATTTCCCTTATTATAAATTAAAGCGAAATTAAAATATATTTGTTCAAATATGATGGACAAGCCTTTTGGTCTTAGATTAGCTGACCTTTTCCTGCCTTTTTCTTCGATTTCCCCTTAGCTTTCTGCCATCTCTCTCTGACCGGCATCTTTTTCACTGGTGGAAAAAGCAATTAGGTACTCAAGTCTTGCACTTAAGTACAATTTTGAGGCATCTGTACGTTAAGTATTTCAATTTTCTGCTACTCCATATTTCAGCTTTACTATAGTTCAGTTGAAAATATTGTACTCTTTACTGCACTACATGTAACTAAAGTAACTATAGTTATGAAACTTTAGTTACTTTAGTTACAGTATAATCATAAGACTTTGTTCTCCAGTGGGAAACTCACAAACTACCTAGCAGTAATTCAAATTACAAACACATAAGGTAGTTAACATTAGCTCCACCTGCACCAGCTGGTGCATTAAATGTAAACATTAATGCATCAGTCCAATAATATAATACACAATGTGGAATGTGCCATTCTACATGATCTTTGCTAATTCAAGTATATTTTTATGCTCATATTTTTGTGCTTGTCCTTAATTAACATTTTGAATGCAGGGCCTCTACTTGTAACAAAGTATTTTTACACTGTGGTACTAAGTGCTTCTTCCACCACTGCCCTTTTTAACAGATGACGTAAAACATTTGCATTTGTAGAATTCAGTGTTACAGTGGAAATACAGTCTAATGGATATTGTTGCATAGGTTAGGCTACTTACCAACACATCCTCTTTAATTGGTTTGAAATAGTGCATTTCCAAATCTAGTGTACAGTGCTAATGTGTCCACCTAGAAGGTGAGCAGAGCAGCAGCCACAGCACCAGTGCTCAGCGAGGCGTTCAGGGACCATAGCAAGTGTAGGTCACCTGTGCTTTGGAAGTGCTCAGAGTCCACTTTAAAATACCAAAGTGCCTCATGGCAGGGCTGGGGTAAATAAACAAGACAATTCTTCTAAGTTAGTGTGATGCAATTGCTACTGTTTTGTGCATGTTCACATCGGCCACAATTGAATTATTTATAATTAGTGTTGTGAGGGGCACTTTTGATTAACTTGGGCTTGAGCCCCAAGAGCCCACACACATGCCTGCCTTGCTTATAGACTATTGGCACATTGAGATATAACACTAATAACATTTATTTACTTGCCGTGGCTAATTGTGTTTTTACTTTTCATTTGTTATACTCACCTCCTGACAGGACTTGGCTTCACCAGTTTGCTTGATGCTGAGGTTGAGATTTGGGAAGAATGTACGTGAGCTCCTCTGCCACCTTGTGCGTCCTATCCTATCCTATAGCACACATATATGTGTAAACATGTGTGGCTATGGCAAATTTACCTACACCTTTTCTTTGACTCCAATAGCCTTTTATAGCTTAAAATTTCAGTTTGCATTATATGTAAACACATCACAAGAATAATAGGTTCTCTGAGAGTGTATTGTATCGTTGTAACACTAAAACTGTGCCAAATCAAAATGAAAAGATAATTTGAGCAAGTCTGTTTATTAGTGTCTTATAATTTTCTTTCAAAAACGTGCCGATACTTAGCTGTAAATAAAAGTATCATGATCAAAGGTCAAGGTGAAAGTGGAACGCTCAAACACGTCTGCCTCGGAGGGCACCATGATGTACCTCATGATGTTTAATTCCAAAGC